TCTTTCCCTGATATATTTATGTTACTGATTTAACAATTCTGAAGAAGTTCCTTCAAATGGTTTGCAAATAACAAGTCTTTAAGTAGGTGTGGGGTTATCTTGAGGTGGCTGCCTGTACAAGGCAGGGACATGTTTAGGCAAGCGTCTGCTATCGGCCACTCTGTATTAGGAGGAGGTAAAGAAAGCTATCTTTCTGTTCCTGTTCACCAACATGGTCACAGCCAGGTGAAGGTATAGGCCTAGACTGAGAGGCCAAATCTTTATTTGAAGATAAAGCAAGGCTGGTGTCAAAGAGAAGAGGTATCAGCACGGAGGAAGGGAATTTTGGTGGAGTGGGGACAAGTGAAAAACAAATTAGAGAGGAAAAAACTCGCAGTTGGCTGAAAAACACAGAAAACAAAGGAGCAAACAAGTCAGATTTTATTTACAGTTAGTCAGATTTCTGGTCAAGTTGGGCTGTTGATTCTTTACCACAACTGGAATGCTGCATGTGAGGGGTGGTTGGAACCAGTGTAGAGCCATCACATTAGGCTGCTGTACCCCTATATTGGGATGGGCTTCAGCTGCTGAATTGCAGTTGTTCTTACTGGATGTTGATATCCCTAGATACCTTGTGTATTTAAAAAGACACATGTAATCTGTGCAGTTCTGAACTATGCCAGGACAAGCACAAAATGGCCTTCAGACTTTACAGAGGCACCAAAATAATTTGACAGACATGTAGTTCCTACGAATTTGGGGCAGTAAGTGAAGCAGAAGAGTCTGGTAAGAAACATGTGAAAAGAGAAAAAGTAATTATGTGCTTTTTGTGATATTTTTAGTAGAGCTTTGCAGACTCAGAAAGCTCAGATAATTTCACTTAAAAGATGTTTAATTCCTTGTCCAAATAGAAAATAATCCTTTTATGATTTTCCACAGTTCCTAGTAAATATGCAGGTTTTTGGCATGCAGTCCAGGATGTCCAAGTATTCTTGCAGAATCTGAGATTTTCCAGTATTTTCCAATATTTCTTTTTTCTCTTCCCTTGGTGGATCTGAAACATTTCTTCTATGTCAGTCATTGATTGCACAGAGACTGATAGTCCCTGACTCTGGAAATCAGACATACAAATTATTGTTACCTTCATGTGAACAGAAGGCTGTATTTTTGCTAGTGACATAATCATAACATTATTAAACAAAACAATATATCTCAGTATGACACTTCAGATTTTTAATGTGTGTTTTGCTTCAGACTTCATTGTAAATTATGCTTGAGTTCAAAAGTAAACATTTTCAAAGTTGTTTTTCTGCTTGTAGAATTTTAACTTTCTCTGTACAGAATAAAATGTTTTTCATCAGAATAACAACAGAATATTAAGTTCCTTCTAGGATGAGCTTTCAATCCATGTGTGAGCAGATTATCCTTGATATGAACAGCAAGTTGCTGATTTTTCATGTAGTCTGTAGTGTTTAAGAGAAGTAATAATAATTGAAATTATATAAAAAAATAAAAGTAGACTAGTGAGCAGAAATTCACTCTAGTGATGTTGAAATTGATTGAAGTAGGTTCGGAGTGAACCAAAGGAAGTATTTATTTATGTTGCATATAGGTAAGCCATGCAGCTCCTGCTGCAGGATGTTGTGAATGCAACAGGTTTATGCTGGCTCAAGCATTGCTTAGACAAACAAAAAATTGGATTTACACAGATACCAAATTCAGTTCTAGAAATTCTTGACACAAAAAGATCACTGGAGACAGTGAGTGAATTAGCATTGACTTTGTGTCTGTCCTTTTTATGATGTCTTTCCTAGTCACCTTCATTTGGCCAGTGTTGAAATGAATCCTGGACCGATGGAATTTGGCCTCATTCATTATGCCTACCTTGATATTCTAAAATAATTAGAGGAACATTTATAACATGCATTTCTAAGACTTTATATAGCAAATGACTATGACTACTTTTTCTAAAGCTTTAGGAATTTTATTTTGCAATATTTCAACTCCATTGTCACAGCTGGTAACAAAATTGTTGATTTGTACAAATTTTTCTTTAAGAATGCAGTCAACAAAGCTGTATTTATCCTTCTATTTCATATTATGCTGTAATTTAGTAAACAGTGTTCCTCACAAAAGGGACTTGCATTGTTCTTGAGATTTCATCTCTTTCAGTTTTCTTGGATTTTGCAACAAATGTGTTTAAAATATTAGGAGAAGTTGGTTTTTCTTTTCATATTACTCACATACTTCACAATGCAGATTAAAAACCCCACAAGGGCTGTGCTAGCCAACAAATACTGTTCTCAGCCACAGGTCACCTGTTTACTCTTAAAGACTAAACTTCTTTTTCATTAAACACTGTAACTCAGTTAGTATTGCAGAAGGGAAAGCTACTTTTACACTTTCTCCTGATCGTATTTCATAACAATAAATTAAGAGACAGGAAAGTGAAACACAGCAAATAGACTATATAGGCAGCTTTTCACTAATACCTATGTGGAAAGAAATACTGCCATATTCACAGTACATCACCTGGTGTTCTAATAATTGCTCTTTTTCATAACTAGAAATGAAGAGTAAATCTAGAGTATATGTTTGCATAGGAAGGAAACACAACGAAAAATCTGTAAAAACAGGAATGAGATTGGATGCAATTATGAATGGCAATGTATGGCAATGTATGGCACTGGTTTTACTTTTCTGGTAACTGTTGTTCTCCTGTTTTTATGTTAACAATGTACAAATTTTAACTCCTTTGTATTGCATTCAACAATATGTAGCCTGACTCACCGTCACAAGATACACTGACCCTGAGAACTTGATGCATTTCTCAATTGATTTTTTAGCAGATAAATAGGATGTTCATAATTGTTTTTAGTAGGGTTAAAATTAATAACAATTTCAAATTGTTGAAAACCATAATGAGTAAGGAAGAAAGGCCTACAATGGAGAGTAGTGCTATCTGACCATTATGAGATTGCTTAATCTTTTTTTTTTTTTTCCAACATTGAAAGATGAA